TTTTTGGTGTCGATGTGCCCCGAGGGGCCTCTTTTGGGTTTTTTGAGATTATGAAGTGTTGACGGTGGGGTTAGGTGGTTTTGATATTCAATTTGGACCAGTTTTGACATTTTCTAAAAGTGGCCTTTTTCCCTTTTTTCCTTCTTTTTCCATGTCAGCAAGTCAGTCATTCTATCATTCGTTTTCGTTACCGTAGCGAAATTGTTGTAAAAATTACATAAAGGGCCACATAGGCAGTGAATTGGTGGAGTGTAAACGCTCCATATCACATCAATACCAAGTTGCAGGCTATTTGCTAGAGGTAGACACAAAGCAAGAACATAAACTTGGGAAAAAAATTAAAAAAACTTCCCGCGGCGGTGGAGAATGCTAGCAAGAATATTGTAGAGGTTGGAGCCGTGAGTGGTGGGTCGGATAGTACATTACAATTCTCTTTACATTTCCCTAACGTTCACATGGGAGGAGGATTTGATTTGGGGAATGGGTTCATTTCAGAATATCTGTCTTATGATAATGATTGGGAACCTTTATAGCTTAGTATGCTTATCTTTAAATAAAGATTTTGGCAATTGTAGTGGTGCCTTTTTTTTTTATTTTTTTTTTTTTTAAGTTACATCTAATTTGGTGAACTTATATTTATATAGCTGGACCAAAATTTCATATATATGTTGTTATTCATGTTTTTATTTTAGTTTCATGTTAATAAGAAAGAAAAACGAAGTTAATAAGTAAATGAAGGCCTCTTGGAAGAGCAAATGATGAGACATTTTCATGTATGTACATTTATTATGATGAAAAAATGTCATTACATATGTTGTGACTTTAGAGGAAGTAGTACTTGGCTGGAAAGATGATCGAGTAAGGCTTCAATTGGGTTGAGACTTAGTGGAAATTGCATTGTTTAAAAGGGACTAATTAGGCAAGAGAATGAATACAACCAAAAAATAAAAAAAAAAGGAAGAATTGATTAAATAGTCTGATCAAACTATGTATTTGGTTAAATAATCTCCTCCTAATGTTTCTTGGTCAAATGACCTTAAATTATAAAATACAATAGATAAACAATGTCAAATGTCATAAATATCCCCACCATTCGAAAAAACATTAACAGACTTATCAATTCAATTCAATTCAATTTTCAATACAATTTTAGGGCCCAAACTCACAACCAGCCATTTTCTTCTCTTTATCATTTTTGATTTCTATCATGAAATAACGTTCTTTATTATATTCTTCTCCTATTTTGGGCATCTTTTAAACATTTGAACAATAGTTTGATTATAATATTATATACATTGAAATATCAATTGCATTTGAAGAAAGAAGAAATGTATTTTTTTTACAAATCTCATGTACATTGTAATTTTGTTACTGAATATAATATAATATGAAATGATATTTTAGAATTTAGTGATTTTCATATTTACTGTATTTTTGTTTTTCTACAAATGTTGGATGATAAAACAATTCAACCGTTATTTGTAGTGTAGAACGACACTACAATTGGTATATTAAAAAAGGCAGTGCAACCACTATCTATTATGTATAACTTAAATGAGTTTAACTTATTATTTCTCGGGGCATAGATGAGGCATGGCTATTTATATTCATGTTTAAAAAATGGAACGACACCAGAGCTATTTTCTTTTCAGTAACGTCACTTGTGTCATTCTGTTGACTTCTTCTATAATTTGATATGTTTTTTAACACAACAACCTTAAGCATTCGACCCTTGATCACAGGACAAAGAGCAGTTGTAATGACACGGATTATAAAATAAAGTTGATGAATGCACAAGTGTTTCTATTATTTTTATTAGAATATAAGAAATGAACATATTTCTCAATTTTTGTAAATGTTATTTCCATCTCACAATTTAAATGAGTTCAACTTATTGTTTTTAAAGATATGGATGGTGTAGCGGCTTAAAATCGTGTTTAAAAATTTTTAGACACAAGGGCCGCTTTCTTCTCAGTAATGTCACTTACAAAAAATGGTTGAAATAACATAAATTATACGATATAAAGTTGATAAAAGCATATGTGATTCTATTATTTTATTAGAAATTTTTTTAAATGTCGTGTTCATCTTACAACTTAAATGAGTTGAAGTTATTGTTTATAAGGCACAAATAGGACATGGTTGCTTATAATTATGTTTACAAACAAAATGACCCAAGGACTGTTTTCTTCTTAGTAACATCATTTGTGTCGTTCTGTTGACTTTCTTTTATATTTCGATTTGTTTCCAACTCAAAGTTTTCAAACATTGAACCCCTAAATCAGGTAAGATAAATGTTGATCACGTGACAAGGAATGGTTGAAATGACATATATTATATGATATAAAGTTGATAAAAAGCACAATTGGTTCTATTGTTTTCATTAGAATATGAGTAATAAATATATCCCTAACTATAAGTGTGATGTCCATCTTATAATTTAAATGAGTTTAATCGATTGTTTTTTGGGACTCGGACGGAACAAGACTACTTATAATCGTGTTTAAAATTAGAACGATCCAAATGCCATTTTTTTTTCAGTCACTTGTGTTATTCTGTTATTTTTTCCATATTTTGATTAATTTTCAACGCAACGAGTGGAGCATGGCTACTTATAATCATGTTTATAAATAGAACAACATAAGGGCAATTTTATACTCGATAACGACACTTGTGTTGTTATGTTGATTTTTTTTTTGATAAATTATATACGATAAATGTTAATCATGTGACAAAGAATATTTGAAACGATATAAATTATAAGATATCCAGTTGATAAAAGCACAAGTCATTCTCATATATTTCTCCTATTCTATGGATACTGATGGTGCATGACTGCATATATGCAAGTAATGACACTTGTTCCATTTTCATAGACATTCTCATTTGAGTAACGACACATGTTCATTCTCATGGATATTTATATTTACAAACATAGTAACATTTGTACCATTTTCATAAATGTTTTCACCTCAATAATAACGTTTATTCCATTCTCATGAACGCTTATAACAAACATAATGACACTTGTGTCGTTCTCATGTTTTAATGACATTTGTGTCATTCTAATATAAAAGTTATATAATTTCAACCACTCTTTGTGACATTGTCAATCTTTCTGTGTTGTATACGTTAGTTGATTTATCGTTAGAGATCATTTTGTTGAAAAATCAAACTACAACAGACAACAAAAATAATGTTATTTTACATAACAGATAACAGTTGGAGTGTCATCATCATCTAATAGTTACAAACAACACAAAAACACACTAAATATGAAAACAACACCAACTAAATATTAGTTAATACTATATTCAATGATAAAAGTACAATATATATGAGATTTCTAAAAGTATCATTTTTCTTTCTTCAAATGTAAATGTGATTTTTCAATATAAAGGATATGCTAATCAAACTCTTGTTCAAATATTCAAAAGATACCCAAAATAATTGAAGAATATAATAAAGAACATGATTTTAGGATAGCAAGAATGATGACTGAAAAGAAGAAAATAAGCATTTTGATTTTGAGAACTTTAAATTGAAGAAGATGTCACTTTCAAAAAAAATAATTAAAAAATAATAATAATAATAATTGGAAACTAGGATTTTACGATGAACGTGGAGAAGAAATGACATGATGAAATGAGGAAAATTGGAAGTTATTTAGTTAATAACCCAATGAGAATTTTGTTATTTTGCCAATTAAAATATTTTGCTTTTTTTTTTTTAATCGGTCAAAGGTCATTTCACCAAATACATTGTCCAACCGAGCTAAATAGCCAAATTCCCTGTAAAAATCCCTTATCTAGAAGTTTCTCAAAAAGCCACAAATTTTGACAAAATTTTGCAATATACTCATGGTTCCTCACCTCCACTTTGTCTTCTTCATACTACTGCTAACGCCTGTAACAAAATATTTTCTCAACTTCTAAATTGTAGGTCTGAATATCAACAATCAATAGTTTACCACTCTGCCTCTCCCCCATTCCCCCAGTTCTTAACCTGTTATCCTTGCTATTTAGGCAATTTGTGTAATTTGTTGTTGGTGTTAGAATATGAAAATTGTCTTTAGCCAGAGCTACTTACTCTCCTATTTTCTACTTTGTACGTACATTCTCAATGAATTACCCTAGAATTATGCAACTTCACAATTTGTCAAAGCCATCCAATCATGCCATACCTGCCTGGTCTTCTTGTTCGATTTCTAACAATTTGGATTCCAGATTTGAAAGGAAATTCCTATAGCATTTAGAGATGCGAACTAATTACTTGCAAACCAATCATTGTTCATTCAAGTTCAATCTCATCATAGAATTCTTAATGCTCGATCCAACTGAGATTCTCTAAGCTCGGGTGCACGAAGAAACCTAGGAAACCAAGGGTCCGTTTGATTGCAAGAATAGAATTTGGATAGAAAGTAAACAAATTCCAAGGAATTAAATTGCCTAGAACTTGTTTTATTAGAAATTGTCAATTAAATGTGTTTGATTGGTATAATTTTCCACTTGAAAAATGTTGAAATTTTGGATCCTTTGATAATTGTTTTCATGGAAAATGTAACCTATCAAACAGGCCCTAAGAGAAGACGACTTTTATTAGTATAAGACCACTTAGTGCTAGAGACAAGAAGAAAAGGGGTATGCCCCCCGGGGCACAGCTCAACTGGTGGATCAATCAACATTTGTCTTGCTTCCAGCGGCAGGGTAAAGGTTCGAATCCTGGTGGGAACCTGCGGCCAAAAAATTTGGTATGGAGCAATCACTTTGGAAGAGGATCTCTTGTGCACAGAAGTGTACAGGAGATGGAGGGAATCTGTGATCCAGTTAAGGCATAACCCGCGATTTACCCCCTCCAAGGTTCCAGGAGTAGTGTAAATTGGGATAACTAGATATCAAAAAAAAAAAAAAAGGGGGTATGATGACAAGACTCCAGCAGCAATTCTGCAGTTCTAAGGAAGCATTATCAGTCACCTAAAATGAACCAAACCAAAAGTTAAATATAGGAAGCATACTACTGCTTAAAGCATCATTCAAGGAGGCCTCATTATTCATCAAGATATTGAGTTTCTTCTATACAAGTGCATTTTGCATAACACAATCAGTAAAACAATGTAATCATAGAAGCAGTTATAACAATTACATTGACTAAACTATGATATCTTAGCTTCAAACAAGCTAGAAATTTTCCTTAATTCATTTTGTTAGACAGTGAAAAATTATGGATTGAAACCAGAAATACAAAAATGAATACATGGAAAAATGAAAATCGACAAAGTACCAGTTTTATTTTAATTGGTTCCATAGGGTCACAACTTTAACAAAGAGATCATTGGTATCAATGACAACAAACTAAGCTTTTCATCGATAATTTTGTGGTCGCCCCAAAAATCATTATTCTAAATATTATTCAGTTTACTGCTAATTCAGACTACCCAACAAAATGTATAAGAAGATTCATGTCATAGAAGGTTAGAAGATTCTACGGCTCCTTCTTAATCTGATCTTTAAGTTTCCTGCTTCTTTTGGCTGTGATTGTATTGTTTGCCATGTATACTTCTCCGACTTCATTCAAAAAAGGGTAAACAAATTTCTCAAAAAAACTAATTTCTGTCATTCTAGTCATTGTTGCAAGACTGGGCCACTTTTCAATCAAATTCCTACTTTCCAAAATCGACAAAACTTGTATCCTAGGCTTAAGCTTATTTTCAACACTGCAAATAAATGATGTTGGACTGTTAAAAATACATGAAACATCATACTTCCCTGTTGCAAGCAAAACCTCCATTACCTTCTTCAGCTTCCTCTCCGACACAGCAAACACCGGAGGGGTCTTCCTAAACATTTCTAAAATCTCATATTCCGAAAATCCCAAATCCCTGAAAAGCTTTAACTTGATTTCCAGATTCTGGTCGCTCATTGAACTAACTACTCGAACAGCATGAATAAACATTTTGGAACTTCTACAGACCCCCATCTCATCCACAGTTTTGACAAATTTTTTTATACTTTCAGGACTATGCAAAAGAAACCTTGGAAAACTATATATGTGCTTTATAATTTGCTCCATCCCTACACCACAGCTCTTTATGAATTCAATATTGGGTACCATAGTCTTCTCCAAATCATTTTTCAAAAACCACCCAGAAATCTTTAAAACCTTAGCTACCTCTGCACTGGATCCCAACAAGCTCTTCAACACTGATAATGAAGGTATGAACCTTTTATCTGCACTTCGATGCAATATCACTGGATCATTTGAGATTATCTCAGCAATGTCATTAGCAGAAAAACCCAAATCTTGGAAAATCTTGATTTTTGGCTTGATGGTGTTGTCAATACTTGCAGAAAGCAGCCCAGGCTGAGTTTTCACAACTTTCTCCAACTGGGTCTTTGAAAAACCGCTCTCTTTGAGGAACTGTAATATTGAATCAGATTTTTCTAGACTCTTTACACGGTTTAAAACAGATGAAACTTGTGAAACTGTTTCAAGAGAAAACTTGTGTTTGTGTAGTAGGAAATCAGACACCGCAGGAGCATTTTTCGCTTGCTTTTTGGTCGAGGAAGAGAAGAAAAGCAGAGAAAATGATAAAGAAAAATGGGGATTGGTGAAAAATGAAGCGTTCTTGGAAGAGAAAAGGACAAATCCTTTGCATATATGCAGAGTCATTATCATGAAAAACCGCAGTTACATCAATCCTTCTTCAATTGAATTCTCTGGAAAAAAATTGCGAAAATTTGCCCGTGGTTCAGGATTTAGGGTTCTTGGCAATTTGAAAAATAGACAAATAGGCCCCCTCACGGGTATATCATATTTAGACCCTTGCCCCATTAATTTTCATTCTATTATATTTTATTTTTTTCTCTCTTATTTTTAACTACATAATTTTTTATAAAATAATATTATACGTAAATCGAAAATTTTTCATTCTTTTTTCAACCATTTATTTTTCAAAATAATACTATTTTACTCATTTTCATTACCCCAAAATGAAGCCCAAACAGGGGCTTAGTTCTACAAACAAAAGGAGCATATTTTTGCTAAGCTTAAAAGTTCACTTAAAATAAATCACTTATTTAGCCTTAGTTGAACCTCATTTTTCTATCAAAATATATTTTTAAACATTAATTTGATCTCATTTCAATCACACATTCTTTAATAAAATAATATTATAAGCAAACTCAAAATTTTTCTTTATTTTTTAACCATATATTTTTCATCATAACAATATTAGAAAATACATTTTCGTTAAAAGAACGAGGCTCAAACAACCCTTTAGTGAGAGCATAAATTAATGTCAATAGTAAGTGGCCTCCATTTCACTTTCACCAACATGTAAAAAGAAAAAGAAGCTAACAAATTGACATAATATTTGATAAATAATCGTGATCTTTAATTTAAGTCAATTCAACTTTCAATATCTCATGGATCTCAAGTAATTTCAACAAACTCTTCTATGATCTTAGTAAAAATACATATTAAACGTTGGATTGACTTAAATTAAAGGTCGCGATTATTTATCAAAATAAGCATATCAAATTTTTGAATAGTACGAATGATCCGCACTATATATAGTTCCCACTAGTACTTCAAAGAAAATATAAGATTTAAGCCAATATTTTTTGTGTTAGAACATTTTTAAGAGACTTTCTATTGCTAAAGAGCATATTTTCTATTTTTCAAGAACATATTCTATCATTTGAAAAGCATCTATAAATTTAGAAAGTTAAAATTTTGAAGTATTCCAACAAGCTTTTTATTCTTAACATTTAATTTTACTACTCCTAAAAAATATTTATTATTTTTCTTTATATTTTATTTCAACTAGCTTCTCTCTAGATTACCTTATTATTTTTCTACATTGAAAATTGAAATACTTTGAATGTATTTGAAAAGTCAAATTCACCCTCCAAATTAAAATGTTAATATATAGAGTCTTTTAGAACATGATTTTAAAAATTGACTCTTTAAATAAGAGAGAGCATCATATATTTAAAAAGTCTTTTAGAGATACTGTTACCGCCACTACGTCCATGCGATGAACATGTTAGTTCATTTTTCCAATTATAAATGGCCTTTCATTCACTCTTGCTTAGAACGCCTCTTTGTCCAACAGCTAACTCATTAACATTCATTGTAGTTTTTTTTTTTTTTTTTTTTTTTTTTTTTTTTTTAAGGGGG